TATCACCTCCAGGGCCTCGTTGATTTGGACGTGGTACGAGTTCGCCCGAAATACCTGCTCCCAACCTTTTCCTCCAGCGTGCTTCAGATTCGGTTCCACGTTGGCGAAAGTTTGATCGATATGCGCGTTGATCTCTCGATGGATCACAAAGGTGTGTGGATCGCAACTTCTTGTTCAAGATGTTACCAGCACGATCTATTCATTCGGAACGCGAGGCCTCGTGAGTCGCGTACATACCTTGGCCTGCGCATTCGATGCGATCACCAATGCGGACGGCTTGGCTGTAATAAAAGTCTCACTTTGCTTTCTGACCCCAGAGCCGTCGTGGTTGGAGTATTGATGTGACATATTTAATAGAGATAATGAAACCCTTGACGATCTATAGATCCTTGGAAATGTGCCCTCCTGAACAAAGACTTCGTAACACTTAATTGAGGTAATAAATGAACTGTTCCGTTAGGAACTTTCACGTATGCATCTAGTCAATGTATTAATCTCTAGGTGCGCTTACACTAATCAGTTAGGTGAAACATACATTCCGCCGGACAACATACGTCATACATATATAGAATGAGAAGAGACACGAACATTGCGATGTCCAGCCAATCCAGCAATTTTATTAAAACCTACGTCGACAATAATATCAGAGATGCAAATATCGGTCAGTTATTTCTTGGCTAGTTTCATAACAGCAGGTGTATCTACACCGCTGCGTCCGTACTTTGGTGATATATATCCGTGGGTCATTCCTAGGACTCATTATTTAGCGACATGAAGGAATCCTGCAATAGCCCATAATATTATAAAATATTTTTAGAATTAGTTCTAGTTATACCTATTTATGGTCTCTTTCATCTTGAGCATACTTGATCTATAATTTTGTCGTGTATTAAGCATGGTAACCCCGAGTGCACTACTATCTTGAACATTATACAAGAATTTACAAGAATTTACATGAGCGTGTGTACTTCCTGATAACCCTAAGCCCTATATAGATATGTATCGATATATATAGCGTAAATAAACAACTAGAACACTTTATTTATTTTCAGGCCACCATGTCGCATTTAGTTTGCGATTACTCGGACTACTCGGTCTAATGACTCTTAATGCCGGTCAGCACGGCTCGGATATTTACATAAAGAATAAATATAGCATAGAAAGACTTTTAGAATACCCGTTGCCCGTCTCACCTAGACCGGGATATAACTCTAGAGCCTCGTATTTGTACTCCGTAGGTACTCCGAGAGGTTCCCTCCCAAATGCTCACTTTTGCGACGCCAATTGCGCCAAGAATTTCAAAGTGGGGCCGTGAATCCCTTCCGTTTTTTCCGCCCATGCAAATGGGCACGCTAGTCCACATTAGGCATATCCTGCGGGTAGCTCCCATGGTTTTTCTTTAGCTGAATGTCTAATATCATCTCAATCATATCCAAGGTTATACATACACATGGAGAAGGCTTGTTTTGCAGATTTTAAGCCATTTTAACTGGTATACTAGCTCCAACACCAAGAAGTGGGGAAATATCTAAAAAAAGACTTCTAACCTGATTTCGAGAAAAAACAACACATGTGAACTTGCAAAAGGATTACCAAGAAAGATGTGACACGGCTGCATATGCGGCCGGCTATTCTTGTACGAATTGCATTGCATTGGAGTGCAATATAATTTAGTCTTCTTTATCCACTTTGTTCAGTCCTTATCGTGAGACATGCATCTTCACGCCACAGTAGTATCAGATTGTCATATTGATAGGAAGAACTCACGCAATCGAAGGCTTCACACGCGACTTCCATATGTCGACGATCAGGGCCGGTCCGAGAGGCCCTACAGGGTTGACCCTCAAGACATGCATTCAAGAAAGAGACCGTTAGTGTCCCGGTCTACAAGGTCCTATCTATATTTTTGTTCTAGGTCCAACAACGTGATGCTAAGCAGCTCCATTATATTGAGCTGCGCAAAAATAACAGGACTAGTATATTAATTTTGAGAGGCACTTCCAACGTTTCTGTTGATACGACACTAAGCCGAGCTGGAAAATGATGGAATGATCGGCGGTTTGAGGGGATATTGAGGAAATCATTTTCTTACGATGACGACATGCTGGGGTGTCTGTTGCTACAAATTAACCCTGCATTCTTCGTGGGACGCTCTGGAATTCTTTATATTAGCTTGTGTGTGTATCAAGTTCCTTGGGCAAATTGAGAAAGCTAGGGGCTGCCTACATAGGATCTGCAAATCCTTACGGTCAAAGCGCTTGTTTATTGAAGCGCTAGGCCAAATAGTTTAGACACAGCCTCATGTGTTCGTAACACAGACAAATTTGTAATGATCATCTTCGTTTTCTTTGCCACTATCACTTTGTTGTAGATCTATATGACTAGACTGCGTTTCAGATGGGGATTGTCATACCTGTCAGGGGGATCTACTACATCTGCCAGATTTGAAAACTATAGTGGATAGAGACTATTGTTTCAAGAATTTTGGGGAGAATACGGAACGTAAAGTTTAATTCTGTATAGGACGGTTAGAAAAAAAAGAAATCTTTGTTATTGGGGGCTATGCTGTGCGAGAGACGGCGCGTGGCGAGCCAAGAAATGTGGTCTCGCAATTGATGCCAAGCTTGAAGAGAGGAATTTTTTTTACTCCAAGCCTCATCCAGAAACCAAAGTACGTGTAATCCAATCACATGAAGTCCCTAGACATGTATTCATTATACGGATTAATTTCTTTTTTTTTCTCTCAAAGACGCTTCTCAGCTCACTTGCGGCTGTGGGGCCGAGATCTACGGGATGAGGAGACTTGGATATTCTTCAGGAAGATCATCGTTACAACGGTACACGGGTACTTTGCCAAATTCAGATGTGCGCGCCAAGTTATCACCAAGATAATCTTGGCCTCGGTTGAAAACAGACTCGTTTCAACATACATTATGCATGATAAGACTCGGAAGGCTTGGAATTGGCTTGGAAATGGCTTGGAGATGGCTTGGAGATAGCTGCAACCCTACTCCAACTGAGGGGTCTAGACCTCTATATTGTTTAGAAGTGGAGATTTCGCACCCCGTCGGGCCAATCTACGAATGAAACCACCAAACGTGCACTAACGGAGATGGTATCGGGCACCCGAGAATCGGCATCCGCGGTAAGACCATGCTCGCCATGAGACCGGAGGCTTGGCGTTAGGCATCAAAATTGAGAACGAGATAGAAAATTGATCTGCAAGTTGCTAGGATGAGAAATTGCATCTATCAGCCCTACAGGGTAGACAGCCCTGGCCAGCCTTAACCGAGAGGATAGTTGGGATCGAGGTAGAAAAACACCCCGAAAAGTGTAAAGTCGACGCTCGATTGCGAAGCGATGTGCAAGTTAATGATCAATCATCGACGGTGATGAGATCTTGGCGGCCCCGCTACGGATTCTAGGGGTTTCGCGGCGGATCAGTGGAGTCAGATACGCTCTACCACCCGTGGATGATATGAAAGACTATGCAGAAAGCTTCCACAGAAGGGGCGTCTTGTGGGTCTGATCGACACGTTGATTGGGACCATATGTGCACAGAATATAGTATATTGTATACACTAATTACTAGTACGTATGTATATGTATGTAGCACCTACGTTGTATTCCATAGAGGCCCGTTCAATATGTCGATCATTTCTTGTCTACTCCGTAGCGCAAACCTTGTCCCGAGAAAAAGCCTTGGGTGCATTCTTTTCTCCTATCCATGTCTGTTTGGAAATGTAGCTGCATTGGTCAGTAGCTTGCAGGTGTCACTTATCTGGAATCATAATGCATCGTCATTGGGTTGTGATACTGAACCCTGACTCCAGCCGCCCCCCCTTTGTGGGTCCTAGATTGGGCGACTTGCGAGCAGCAAGGGCCAACATCCCCTATAGAGATTCATCAAGGGGGAATGCACGCGTAAGTCAATGGCGTATTTTGTCCAATAATCAGCTCCCGATCAATATTGATCAGGGCAAATGACGAAGCTTGGCATTTGCTTGACATATAGTCGTCATAATGGCTGATATTCACCACGTGGGAAAAAAAAAGAGATCCTGAAACAGAAAGTCGGGGTTCAGTTCTCTTTTCCTATAATTAAGATATGTAGCCTCGGCACGACTTGGCATGCAAAATATTAGTGGATTGGTTAACCAGCTTATCATACATCCCTGACCCTGCAGATTTTCGGGGCTTTCGGGACCTTTAGGACACATAAGATGCCGCGGAAGTAGGCCGAGCGGGCATAATTTGTATGCAACTGACGAACAAATTCATCCCGACATCTTTTTCTCCGACTGCAAACTCTGAGGGTGAAACCGGGCTTGTGTGATGCAGATGCAGTGCAGATCGATTCCATTATACACGCGTATACGGAGACCGGAAGGAATTCCAGTGGGTATTGGAATTTGCTCTATGATCTTTGGTATCAGCACTATTCGCCCATAGTTAACTGGGCCCCAAATCACTCGTGGGAGCTCAGGAATGTGCTTTCCCTGGGGTAGACGTCAGCCTTCGAGGCTTGGAGATGACATAATAGACATACAGCCGTCCACACTAGACACATAAGTCATTCTGTAAGCTTGTGGGAATCCGGGACTAAGACCTCGAGTATTCCAAGTGCGGATCATGGCCCGTACGTGTCAAATTGAGCGACGTCGGGTTTACCAGATTTGTCTTATCTGTGCCACTTTCAACCATCAAGGGGATGGTATAATGATCCCCCTGGTCGAACCCACAGTGGAGTACGCTTACGGAGGAGTAGACTCTCAGATGCATGGGTCTGCTTAATATTTTGTTGGTAATTTTGAACCGGCCCTATAGGGGTTTCGTGCTGGAACTGAGATACAAAAGGGTGTCTCCATTCCGTCATTTAACTTCCTAGATCCCTAAATCAGTTCAGGCCTAATGAAACCATAATTACTCTTCTATTGTCAATAAATTGTGTCTGTTGCTACACCCAGAATTGTCTTCATATTCTATAATACATTTTCATCATGACTTTGTCCCAGTTCAGTTCAACAGAAACCCTCAGGGATCCTGGGGTCATAGGCCAGTCGGTCGACTCAAGCCCTAATGTCTCGCCTCCGGATGAGAAACACGTCTCGGTATCAGCAACACCAGCAGAGTCAACCGATGTTGAAAGCCAAGTCCTGGAATCACCACCATATCATGTGTTCACTCGGTCTCGCAAGTTGTGGATTGTCATTATTGTCTCCTTCGCCGCCATATTCTCGCCGCTATCTTCAAACATCTACTTCCCTGCCCTTACAGACGTTTCAAATGTTAGTTGGCTTGAGTAATACATTTGACCACTTCATGCTAACGATAATATAGGAACTCAATATCTCCATGTCTTTAGCCACATTAACCGTCACGATATACATGATTGTTCAAGGTCTTGCCCCGAGCTTTTGGGGTTCTTTCTCCGATGTGTTGGGCCGTCGTGTGCTTTTCATGGGAACATTTGGTGTATACATTGTTTCGAACATTGCTTTGGCTGTCTCTACCAACTATGGTGAACTTATGGCTTTCCGAGCGCTACAGGCTGCTGGAAGTGCAGCCACCATCTCAATTGGTACGATACACCAATTATCCCTGCTTTGTGTCTTAGCTAACCCGCCTAGGTGCTGGTGTCATTGGTGATATTACCACTTCTGCAGAGCGAGGCAGTCTGATTGGAATCTTTGGTGGTGGTAAGTACCCCGCTATTCCGATACATTGCTATGTTCAAAGCTAACAGTATGTAGTTCGCATGTTGGGCCAGGGAGTTGGACCAGTATTCGGTGGAATCCTCTCTCAGTACCTTGGGTTCCGATCTATCTTCTGGTTCTTGGTTATTACATCTGGAATCAGTCTTTTCTCTATCATGTTCTTCCTCCCTGAAACACTCCGTTCTATCGCTGGCAACGGTTCGGTTCCCCTCAAAGGCATCAACAAGCCAATCATCTACGCCATTAGTGGACAGAAAGATGCACAGGAACACTCGATACCCTCTGGAAAGAAGGGCAAAGTGACCTTCAAGACCATGCTGGAACCCCTCACCTTTCTATTTGAGAAGGATGTCTTCATCACCTTGTTTTATGGAAGCATTGTGTACACAGTCTGGTCGATGGTAACTTCTTCGACATCCGACCTATTTGAAAAACAATATGGCCTGAACTCACTGGAAGTTGGCCTCACTTTCCTCGGCAATGGGTTTGGATGCATGACCGGTTCCTACACCATCGGATACCTAATGGACTTCAACCACAAGCGAACGGAGCGCGAATACTGCCAGAAGCACAACCTTCCCATTGACACTCGCATCAACTTGAAGAGCCACCCCGATTTCCCCATCGAGTACGCCCGCATGCGCAACACTTGGTGGATCACTGCTATCTTCATTGCCTGTGTCGCTGTCTACGGTGTGTCCCTCCGCACACACCTTGCAGTTCCAATTATTCTGCAATTTATCATTGCCTATGGCTCCACCGCTATCTTCACCATTAACAGCGCCCTTGTCATTGACTTGTACCCTGGTGCGAGTGCCAGTGCAACGGCAATCAACAACCTGATGAGATGTCTGATTGGTGCTGCTGGTGTCGCGGCTGCTCCGTCTATTATTGATGCTCTCACTGCCCAGTTCACATTTGTCATGCTCGCTGGCATTACCCTCGCGATGGTGCCTCTTCTCATGGCAGAGACGAAGTGGGGCTATGGATGGCGTATTGAGCGCCAAGAACGCCTTAAGAAGAAGAATGTCTCAGTTTAAATGAAGATGATGGATATACCTCGGTAGGAAAATGGGAGGAAATTGGAAATAGAAGGGGATAAAGTACATAGTTGGGCACGAAAGCCTATCACGACTTGACGATAAGCGGTGCTTACTTGGTTTTCCTTCTTATACTCTTGGCGATTATTTGTTTTTGTTTCAGTTGCATATACCAGCTACCTTTGGGTAGCATTTCACTTTCGGCATTTTTGACTTTCCTTTTATATAGGGCTATATCTATGTCCCCTAGGCCGTAAGACACTGCTGTAAGGCCAGGCTCAACGATAGCGGCCACTCAGAACTTGCACTCAATCTACCGCTTTTCTCTCCGCCTTCTCGATTGGTATTTAGATATCTTCAATAGACCTCCTATTTCTTCATTTCAAAGATCTCTTATTGCTGATCTCTTAAGTAGGACCAGTTTAGAGCTAATGGTAATTCTTTTTCTAAATCAATTATGTAGGCTCGAGGCTACATGCATTGGTGTATGCCAAGTTTGTTCCATCTGGTTTTCTGCCCATCAACTCAGTCAAAGTTCCCCATGGCCGCTTTCGTCTACCGTAGGCACATCCCAACATCAGCTTCCCTTTTGCACCGTGGACTTTGATTTCTCTATATCCAACCACATTCGAATTTTATCAATAATCTCGAGCACACTGAGCGTCTTCACAAAGTAACCCGGCCCTGACCATGGAATCTGCCCGAAGTCTCTACAAAAATGACGTCGATTTTGCAGCCTTGGCGCTACAATCGCGCGACTTCGCCAAGCAGTACGTGAAACAGTCTTTCCTCTGACAAAAAGTCTAATACTGATTGAAAATAGCTTGAAACCAAACGGTCAACTGGACTTTAATGATCCAGCCGCCGTCCGGTAAGTCAGAGGACTTCAACATCTAACATCCCGAGAGCAGATCTGATTTGCGTCACGCAGACAACTCACCACCACCCTCTTGCAACAAGATTTTCACCTGAAAGTTGAAATCCCCGATGATCGATTATGTCCACCGGTATGCAGATACTGAAAATATCGTACGCACATATATTGACTTAGCCTTTAGGTACCAAACAGGTATGTCGTCCAGAATGACGGCCTGGGCCCTAGTTACAACCATGTGTCTGACATATCGCATAGGCTCAATTACATCCTTTGGCTACAGGACCTCCTCGACTCCACCGCTGGAGGACTGAATGAGGGGTACGACCGAGGCCGGGAGGTCGTCGGCCTCGATATGTACGTAATGAGTCCTTCCCATTTCCGAATTTTGTCTGACAAAGTAAAGCGGAACGGGATGCATCGGCATCTACCCCCTATTGGGTTGCGCGACACGGCCGGGATGGAAATTTATAGCAACAGGTACGTCTTTGAGTCCGACGATCTTCAGTATCCACTGATCAGCCCGACAGACATCGATTCGAACAATATCCGCACATCCCGGCATAATGTGTCTCTGAACAACCTCGAATCACGAGTTCAGATAGTACATTCAGACCCCACCGGACCACTCTTCCCGCTAGAAAATCTAGGCCGTCAAACGTGAGTCTGCTTTGAGGTAAGACTAGCTAGAATCTTATTTGACCATTTACCAGCCTTGATTTCACTATGTGCAACCCACCCTTTTACACATCGCCCAATGAACTGAAGCAATCTGCTGAGCAGAAAGAACGAGAGCCTTTCTCGGTGAGTGTCATTGACTCTTCATTTCACATGCTAAACTACTACACACGCTTAAGTAACGTATCATACTAACTTTCATGAAGACCTGTACCGGCGCTGAGGTCGAAATGGTGACCCGCGGTGGAGAAGTGGCTTTCGTGAAGCAAATGATCGACGAGAGTCTCCAACTGCGCGAGCGCGTCCAGTGGTACACATCCATGCTGGGAAAATTGAGCAGTATCAACGTACTCGTAGAGACACTGATCAAGCATGGCATCGCGAATTTTGCAGTCACCGAGTTCGAGCAGGGAAGCAAGACGAAGCGCTGGGCCGTGGCGTGGTCATGGGGAGATAGAAGGCCTGCCATGGTAAGTCATACTTTAATACCTTTTACTCACTTCGCGCTTGTATTTTGTGCGCCACGTCTAACAGCTGGTCTAGAATATTGCGCGTGGAATCCCCGGCTGTCCAAAGAGTCTTTTGCCTTTCCCGGCAGATTACACATTCACATTACCACCTGGCACGTCTATCGACACAGCTACTGCTATTATAAATGCAGAACTCAGCTCATTGCCTTGGTTCTGGACCTGGGATCAGACTCGTTCTGCGGGGACGGGATTCGCTGCTGAGAATGTGTGGTCTAGATTCGCCCGTAGGAAGATGAAACTTGCTGGTGAGGAGGGTGCTGCTGAATTGAAGGCGATTCCTGCCCAGGTGGCGCTCGGAGTACGTCTGCAGATACGGCTGGTCCGGGGGGAGAAGCCAGATGAGAAAGAGGTGAAGGTTCTAGTCCGCTGGGCACAGGGGAGAGACACCGTCTTGTTCGAGAGCTTTTGTGGGATGGTGAAGAGGAAGTTGGAATCAAAATGAAACCCATAAAATCATAGCTCTAGCTGCACACGGGTATGAATAGCCTCGATTTATCAATCAACATGAGGAGATTTGAATAATGTTGAACTTGGTATATGACTTTTGTAAACATTGCACTTGCTAGACGAGCGAGCTAATCTATATGATTCATAAACAGCATCAAGGGTTATATGTACTAATTGCCTGTCACCTCGGACTGCAACTGCTTCAAGCGGTCCCAGCCCTCTGTGCCATCCCAGAAGTCCTTGCCCTTGCCCATGATTCCTCTCACGGCACTTCGAGCCTTAAACCGCCAGTCCTTCGCAACAAGCTCAGCCTCTTGATCACCCCCAGTCTTCTGATCTTCACGGTCCATAGGACCAAACTTAGCATAACCATCCCTCACAAGCTTCTCCGTAGCCCGCACAACCTCAAGCCACGGCTTCTCATCGCCCATCTGGAAAGCACCCTGAGCGTTAGCAGCAATAGTAGCACGCCACGCCTTCTCATGAGCCTCGAACGCCTTAGACGGCCGACCACGGAAAACTTCAACGCGAGCAACAATCTGCCACAGCACCGAAGAGTGTGTAATAAGCGGGACGACATTCTGATCCACCAGTGAGATGATCTGGCCAGGAATAGTACCCGTGCGAACAATCGGGGCTTCAGATGGATCGTCAGAGCGAATAAGCAACGCCTCGTACTCGAACGCCACGCTCAGGAAATCAACGAGCATGCCCAAAATCGCCACATCAATACACTTCTCGCCATTCTTCGTGCCGACGAGTTCGATAATGCGCCTCTGCGCGGTAATCACATCGCGGAATGGTGTTGCTGGGGGCGGGATGGACGCCGCGACTGTCAGGACGTTGTCCCAAATGCGGGCGTCAGTGCCCTTAAGTTGCGCTGCGCGCTGGAGCGCCGATAGGGCCTCGCGCTTACGCTTGTAGGGGTCGACCTCGGCGACGGAGACTTCACCGGTGGTCTCGTCGATAACTTCTGGGGCGGGCTCTGGGGCGGGCATGCGCAACATCGCTGCGGCAAGGTTACTCCAGGCTTGGCCGTCGGTATCGTCGAGTTGGACGGTGCGGGTGAAGGTGTCGGTTGCTTCTTGCCATTTCTGGAGCTCGAGCTGCACACAGCCGAGAGCGAACCATGCGCCCTGGTTCAGGCGGTTGATGTGCAAACTCTTCTTATAGGCTATTTCGGCCTTTTCCAGTTGCGGTGGTGTGGAGGTGAGATAGTGGCGGGCCAGGGACCGCTGGGCGCGGGCATATCGCTCTCCGGAGACCTCCCAGGCGCGCTCGTACAGCTTTTCGTCCTTGTCGATATCTCCCATGATGCAGAGCAGACGGGGAGCATCTGCTGGTAGTGGTGACCGCTCTGGTCCTTCAAATTGCTCGTTTTCATCATTTTCATCTGGGCCGGTGGCCTGGTAAAGCTGGCGGCGGATGAGGTTCTTCGCCTTGCCTTCGCGCTCGGTGGCGGCGTAGCAGAGCGCGGCCTCAGCCCACATGTGTAGTCTCTCGTAGATCTCGAGTGCGGTGCGCAGACCACCGAGATCAACCCAGCGCTTGGCAAGCTCGGCCTCGAGGCTCCAGCGTGTTGAGAAGTTTAGGATCCAGATGTGCTCAAGTCGGTCAGCGGCCGGGGCAGACTCAGACTGCTCAGGGCGCGGCAGGAAAGTTGTAGGGTCGCCAGATTCAGTCTGAGCTGCGTCATCGCTAGTTGCGGTGTCCGCAATGACTTGATCCACCAAAGCCTGCATCTGAAGCACAGCTCTCTCAACGGTACGGGAACGGTAGCCCTCTACCCGACTGCGGACCAGAAGTGCTTGGGTATAGATCTGCCAGTTGGAGCTGCCGCCATCGAGCACTCGAGTGGCGTAGGGGTTTGTTTCCTCTCGGGTGAGGCCGTTCTCAGGTGAGGTGTTAGTAATGGCAGATGCTAGTGCCAGTAGGAGAGCAGAGTCAACGGGGTTGAGAATAGGCTGGTTGTTGGCATCAATAGCATCCAGAGCTGCGGAAACCTTATCCTGAATTGCCAAGGATTGTTCATCGGGCTTTTGGTCGGAGAAAGAGATAGCCTCGAGAAGGGTGTCGTCGTCCAAGTTCAGATTCTTGGGCCCAGAAGGCTCCGAAGATTGTGGTGTCTCATCAGCGCTCTTAGCCAACACGACCAGCTGACTGATATCGCGGTCTTGGAATTTTGTGCGCTTGCCCATCTTTCCAGTCAACGCAAACTCGAACCTCCGCACCTTGGCCGCCTGATCAATATCTTCGCGTGCCTTGGCATCGAATCCGTGGTGTGTGTGGATAGTGGCCCTTTCCAGCAGGAACCGACTCCTCTCGTCCGAGTTCAACTCAGCCTTGTCCAGGATCTCAACATCCTTGTAGATCACATCCTGGAGAGTACTTGTGACCTCCGAGAGCATCTTTTGGTGAAGGAAGTTGGTGCGCATACGCGCGGTCTTTGCCACAAGCGGTCCATCGCTGCTCGCATCAGCTAATAGAGCCTTGGCAACAGCAAACAATTCCGGGTTGGGTGTGAGCTTGTAGGCAGCTTCTCCATCCAAAGTTAGGTCACGGATGATCTTTGCCCGCACGGCTTTGAGGGTTGTGGGTTCGGTTCGCAGGCTAGAGGGCAACACAGCTTCAGCCGAGCTGAATTCGAGGGGAGGACCGGTGACGTTGGACTGCAGGAAGCTGAACAAGGCTGCGAGTCCAAGATGAAGGAGTTGCGATTGCTTTTGTTCCGTGGTTAGGTCATCGCTAGACTCGAGGGCGGCGCGGGCCTGGTTGGCGACGAAGGTAGTGTATGAGATCTCGCCGCTTGCAACCTGCGCAAGAGACTCGTTTGAGGCATCGTGACCCAGCACCTTGTGAGTGAGGGGCAGGTTGAGGATCGGGACGATGTTGTCTGACGTCAATCGGATTGGATCGATGCGGTCTTTGAGAGGAGATGCGGCATCAAAGATGCTGTCCAGATTGGACGGATACGCAGGAGATTCAGCCATGTCAAATCCCTCCAGTAACCTTTTAATGATCTTGGAGTCGAGAATGTGCCCCGCGATCTTTTTCGATTTTTCTGGCTTATCGATAGTGTGTGGATAACAGGAGTGCGTGGTATTTAGACAGAGGTTACCATATCGCCAGGAACTGAAATTTATTACCACGCTCTGCTTATAGAGCATCGCATCTATTATTAATCCAACCTCTGACGACCCTTTAGGACACCAGAATCAGTCGCCAATGTCCAATTTATTATAGTATGCTATATCAAGCTGAGTCTTCCTCAGACTCAATGAGACGCATGTGCGTGGTCCTTGAGTATACGATTCAAACCCTCTCGCTGCACACAACCCTCAAAGTGGAAACTCCTGGCCAACTCTTCCAGATCCTTCTCACTACTTCCTCGAAACAATTCAGCAAACTCATCCACAAATGAAGCCGCCAAGAAAGTGTAAAACACATTCCGCATGACATGCAACTCCGTATTCCACGACGTGGGATAAGTCTCCTTCGCAGTGGGACTAACACGGTCAATCCACTCAAGCAAAGGCTTCAAAGCGGCCTCAGGCTCAGATTGAGGTCGGCGACCCCATTTATCCAGCCAGAAGTCCCTCTTCTTGTCCAGGAAAGGCTTGAGCGTCTTGTTCCACTTGCTCTCGGGGTTTGTATAGATCATACCCTGCAGACCAATATCTTTGTAGAGCCAAATCGACCAGCTGATGTTATAATTATCGTAGATGCGCAGCTGATCACCAAGGAGATTGTATCGCTCCTGGTTGACGGTCTGGGCATCGACGTCAAATACCTGGTCCGCGTAGACGGGCCCAAACTCCCCGTTCCAGACAGGGGTCTTGTTCTCGCTCATGAACTGCGCTTTGCGTAGGTACCCGCGTTCAAGACGTTCTTTCTGTTCAGCTGTGCCCTTGTAGCGATCGCCGGTAGGGAAACCCATTGACTAGAGATAGGACTGTATTAGAACGCTACACTCCATGTTCCCGTGGGCCCGGAAAGGAATGCGAAGCTCACCGAGTAATCATGCATAGCATATACACTGTTTGGCAACACCTCGTCAAAGCCCTTCCACTCCATTGCAAATGTGTTCCCATCCAGCCACAGGATATGATTCGGGTCAATCTTGCGGATCGCCTTCTCAACGCGAGCATAGAATGCGGGTAGTCGCACATGCTCAGGATCGCAAGGTTCGTTGAGCGGGTTGTATCCAGCAACCCAAGGATTATCCCTGTATCTGGTGGCGATCTGCTCCCAGAGCCAAATAGTCCGGTCTTGGTGGTCCTTGTAATCCCAGAAAGCGGCATAGCCGGTCGGATTGTCGGAGTGCCAGTCTGGGTTCTGGCCACCGGGAACGGCGTGCATGTCCAGAATGGTATAGATACCGTGCGCTGCGCACTATACGAACATTGTAATTAGTCTATTTCCCTATAATACCACCCCCATGTAGGGGAATATACAAAAGACTGACCAGGTTGACGACTCGGTCCAAGTGTTTGAACCCTGATTCTTTCAGCACGCGGGGATTCAAATCGTCCTCGAAGTGGCGGTAGTTGAAAGGCAGACGCAGACAGTTCAATCCTAGCTCGGCGAAGAATTTGGCATCCGCCTCGGTGAAGAAGTACTCGAGCCATTTGTCGAAGAAGAATTCGTATTTCTCTTGTCCTAGAACTCGGCGCATAGCAGCGCGGTGCTGGGCTTCGTGGCCTGCGAAGCCTGTGATGAAATTCTCCATGCTTTGTACAATATGTCAGTTCGGAGACAGGGAAATACTAGGGTAATCTGATCGTCTGCATACTTCATCCATCCCCCGAGAGCAGCTCCTCGCATCACAACCCCCTCTCCATTCCCATCGACGATAGTGTCGCCCTTCACGTGTAGGAAGCCGGTGGCCATATTGTTGATCCTGTACACAGTAATGTAATGACAACTGTCAAAAGCTATAATGATACCTACAGGGGTGGGTGGGAGGTGCTACGCATGACTATAAATACTTCTCTGCAACAGGCTATTTATCCAAAAATCCGGCAAGCAAACAAAACGCGGGGGATGGGCTAAATGAGGTCTCGGCATTTAACATGGGGCTTCAAGCCACCAAGCCCAGTAGCCATCCTCGACCGGCTAATATCGCAACATTTAGCCTACGCGTACATGCAGCCAAGAAACCAAGACATCTGATCAAGTGTACAAGAATTGCATTTCTCATAAATAACAAGACATGTGCCAACGGGCATGGATGCATGCCACCAGGGTATTTGTGTACAAGAGAAGCAACGCCATCCGAAAAAGCCGCCTAAACGCTCAGAGAATAATGCAACACACCAGACTAAACTACCAATCCTGCCCGCGATCCCGCATCAGGATCTCAATGGCTTCGTCCTCGGGAACGGGATTGTCATTCAGTTCCTTGACGCATTGCGTGAGCCCCTCCGCGGCTTCATCCACTTGCTCTGCTGTCCAGCCCGTGCATGCCATCACCATGCGACGGTAGTTTTGTCCAAGAACTGCGTTCTTTGCTTTCAGGCCATCGACTTCAGCTAATATCCCTCCGTTAAATTCTTTGTAGCATTGTGCCTGGCGCCTAAGCAGATCCGTTGGTGGCAGTGCAGCCAGGAAGCCAACTTGGTGGTCTGAGAACCCGGACGCTGGGTCGAAAGCCTCAGGGAAGAGAGCATCAAATGTTGCAACATCAACACCGGAATCTCTGTCGGCGTCACCCACAACAACCGTCTTGGTCGCGTCCAGTCCTGGTGTGTTTTTCACTGTGACCAACAGACCCTCAGATGAACGCTCTAGATTCTTGATGCGCCGATCTAGCTCCACGCGCTCAGCACCCTTGCGTCTAAGCTCATCATATTGCTTCTGTTCGATCTGCCGAGCTTTGGCAGACTCGCGGATCTTCGTATGCCAGTGATCGAAACTTTCTTGTTTTTGTGTCAAACTCGAAGCCAACTCTCGGTCAATACTGCCAAGTGTTTCTTCAACCATTGTGCTAATTTGGGACATTGCCGCTAGATTTCATTGTTAGTAATAATAAAGATGGCGGGCGGGAAAACATTTTACCATCAAGAATCTCTTTCTTCGACTTCGCCAGTTGATCAATGAATGTGTCATTCCGATTGACCGGTTGTTGAGACTGAGAATTTCCGTCGACCATGTCGACACCCACACCGTAATCTGCAGGCCGGAGGCCAGTATGATTTGGAATGTGAGGATCAGCACCCACTTCCAGGAGTTGCGGGACAAGGACTGAGCGCGCACGCCCTGCCAGATTAAGGGCGGTATCGCCCTGATCATCGCGGAGGTTGACAATCTCAGAGATGAACCGTCCCAAAGAGATGACTTCATTGCTGGGGTTCCCGTTTGGCGCATGGTCTCCATTCGCACTTGGGACGATACCGCCATGTCGTACAATAAACTCAAGAAGAGCTTCCAGATAATGCTTTGCGGAGACGTGTCCGCCGCCACCTGTTGCGGCCATCATGGCGATATGGTGCAGGATTGTACGTCCGCTGTAATCGACCATGTCAATGGTAGGGGCTAATACCTGCAGCAAACGTGGGAAGCTTCGATAATCAAGGTTGTTCCGAGTGCCCACGGACTTCTGCAGGGCCGTTTCTCCGGCACCGTTGACTCGTGATATACTGACACCCTTGGCTACTAGCGCATTGAGTAGTGACATTCGGGCAAGCATCGCAGCCCAGTGCAGGGCATTGTTTCGATACTCATCAAGGGGAATTTCAAGATCATCCCCGGTCAACTGCAATAAGGCCGGGTGATCCGTGAAGTCTTTTGTTCGTTTGTCGAGGAACAATGTCATAATGAGCTTCATCTTCTGGAATCTCTCGGGAGTAGAAGCAGGCGCCAGGGACTCGACGCCGCGTTTCGAGCCATCGTCAATAGGAGGGGGAGGAATATCCATATCTTGATAAAAGGAGTCGTTAGGTTCTGTGGGTGTAGGTTCGTGCATGGATAGATTGGATGGTTCTCGAGCAAGACCGATAGGTGGGCCTTGGTGCGAAGTAGAGCGCATGCGTTTGCGAGGAGGTTCCGCAAGATCGTCGTTGTCGTCTTGAACCTGGTACCGATTTTGCAAGCTGCCAAACCCGCTGTCGGACATGCTGTACATGCTCTGCTGGCTGCTGAACGCGAGTCCGGATTCCTGGCTGCTCATCTGCTGTGAGGGCTTGCGAGCCATGCTGGGGCGACGATTATTAGAGCTGGGTGAGTCGAAGCGCGCTTTGCTGAGGGCATTCACAGCGGTGGCGGCGGTTCGCGAGATATTTTGGAAGAAAGTTCCCTGCTGCGGCTGTGAAGCGCTGCGATTCTCCCCGCCGTTGTAAAGGCGTTTGCGCTGCGCAGCCATTGCTTGTTCTTTGGTGGGTGTATCTATCGTCGATTCGTGGGCAGGAGCTCCGGAGCCGTCAGGGTTCATATCGTACTCCAGCAGTGGCCGGAGTGATTCTTCAACGTGGTATTCTCTGCAGAGGTCAACGCCTCGTTGGTAGTTAACCCACGTCCCCTGGTATTTTCCGTAACCGCCTTGTACTTTCTCGTGTTCACCGGCCGCAATTTCCTTCTCGAGGGTTTTCGTTCGTCTCGCTTTCACTACACCAGCGACTTTCAAAATTTGCGTAGCGTTCAACCAAGAATCGGATCGACGTTTCATCACAGCAACACCATTTACTTCCATTTCATAGACAGCGACATTAGAGTAGACAGCCTATTTTGAGCGTCGTCAGTGGTATGCTCTGTGGGTGTGGATTGAGACCACGAACTCGGTAAATCTGTGGTTTGTACTCCTCCTGATATGACATTACCGACCCATAGTCGTTGGCTCCATCGTATCCACCAAAGCTAGTTCGTGCGAGGCCGTTGGGGTAACCGAAAGAGGACATCTGAGATCCTTTCGGGGGCGGAGGAGTTGCGCGAGGGGTGGCAGAGAGGGATTGCGAAGCATTCAACATGTTGTAGGCCATTCCATTCGACCCTGTACTGCCCTGTGAGTATGACATGCTGAACTTTCTAGGAAATGTCAGCATACAAATCGGGTAATGATGGGATAGAGTACATAGCAAGGGGAGAGATACCGGATGTCGATTGGAATGACGCGAGCTCAAGGAGGCGCGTGGCTAACCCTCTGGAGGGAAACCGTAGGCCAGACCAATTTACATTCAAAGCCACAAAGCGACCAAACGAGGTGTCAAGTAGATATTGAGATATTAAGATCCGAGGCTCAATGCAAGGCAGGGCAATGTTCGCGGGGTTTGGGGGGAGAGACTGCGAAAATGGCGCGTCGGAGTTCCCGTGACACGCATTTCGCCAAGGATTTCGCGTTTCTCCGTTTTGGGATTTCTTTTTTTTTCCACTTCACGATTGCAATAAAAATAAGATATTCCTAATGGCCAGACCACAACCTCAGCATTGGGTACACAATCTCTCCAAAACACAACAATGGCGCCATTTATTTCGCGCCACGCTGCGCGAATGTACCTACCTACCTGACCCCATCGCTCGCAACTACATGAAAGACCATATCATCTCCCGATATCGTGCTGTTTCCTCCCGTTCCCCAAAGGCTGGTCCTAATGCGGTTCACGCGGCAAGAAATGCATTGTCGGTTCTGCGGCGAGCAAATGAAGGCTATTCACGACCTCTTGAGAAAGTGTTGTTCATGTCGTACGGTCGCACTGGGAGACGGCGACATGAACTGCTGGCAAAGATTTTAACGCCGGAAATCCCCAATGACTCTTTGGCTCTCAAAGAGCTACTCTCACGGCCTGTTGATTTCAGTGATGGTTGGGAACCCTCGGCTATCGTGAAGAGCCTCTCGGCCTCTCAAATGCAGAACACAGTGGTTGCAGCAGCCCGGATCAGGCCGTTGATCAAACAATTGGAACCTCCGATTCCCAATAAGAACAGCTGGGGCAAAGAATTGGCTGAGTCTCGAAAGAGAAACATTCGGAGGCAATGGTACAACAATACATTGAACAGTCTCCTTCCACCATTACCAGAAAAGGATCTCCAGACGCTTGAGGGACTCATCTCAGGGACTGTGTCATGGGAACCTCCGAAAAGGAGAACTTCAAAGCCCCAGATTTCCCAGACCAAGCCTGGTGGCGAGCTCTTCAAGTTGCTGGCTAGGGGCCCTGAGAAGGGTACCACCTTCGCTGAGTATGCCAATGGCCGGCCACACACAATTACAGTCAGGCTAATGCGTCGTCAATGGAGACGCCTGTCTGCTCTTGTGCCACGACAGTACTGGAATCCGATTTCACAAAAGTGGCGCTTTTTGTGGGATTCACCAAAGGAAGTCCCCAAGCTATCCTTTGATCTGGACAGTAGCATCGACCCAGAGGCTTTTTTCAAAAAATTGTCAATCCATGAAAAGGAAAACGATGCTGAGGCGCATCAAGTCTCTCAATAACAGAATATTGACAATGTAATAATACACGATTTGGAATCCACTCATGGCCTTAGTCATTCCCATATTCAAGTTCAATATGAACTGAAGTGAAGGGCTACCTACCAGGCATAAATGCAAGCTAACAAGCACTCCAGGATATCTTACCAACTAAGGCATAGTCACATGATTCATGATTCAATAATTCCACTTTGTTCATGAACTGTCATCTCATTAAGAATACAAATGCATATGATAAAAGTAAAGCGTAAAGCCCCTCGAGTCGCCCCAGAGGAGAAGCCAAAACGGGCCGAATGCTCTTAGAGCGGAAAACACAGTAGAATAAAGACAGGGTATACAAAAGGAGAAGGATCAAGCAAGTCACCGTAACCAATCACACCAAAACAAGCGAGACCAATTAGTCGCTATCAGAGGAAGAGCTAGAGCTGGAGCTGGAGCCCTTCCGCTTGTGCTTCTTATCCTTCTTATGCTTCTTCTCCTTCTTGTGCTTCTTGTGTTCCTTCCCACTATACCAGAGCACCAACAGTCAGTCTCGTCTCAACCCAAAAGAATAGAAAAAGAGGATAGCGCAAAGGGGCAAGACTCACAGCTTAGTCGCCATATTCATACCAACAGCACCCAGAACAGCACCGCCTGCGGTACCAAGTATACCGTGGCTAAGCTTATTTCCCACGAACCCACCAGCCGCGCCACCAAGCAGCGTCGACCCAAGGCCCCTGTCGCCCTCTGGTCCTACAGCACCGGGCTGTCCTTGCTGGTGCTGGGGTGCGCCGCCATAGTACGCGGAGCTCTCGCCGCCGCCGCTTTGCGGGTACTGCTGTTGCTGGGGAGGCTGGCCGTATCCAGGACTGCCTTGGGGAGGGTATTGGCCCTGCTGGTGCTGCGGGGGGTATGTCTGGTATCCCTGACCGCCTTGTTGATCATATGGTCCTGGATGTTGGCCGTGTTGGGGCGGACCGTAAGCCTGCTGACCCTGCAGCGCGGAAAGTTAGTTAGGTATAGCCGCAGTACGAGTACGAGATGAAAGTGAGAATTCGAGCTCCGTGCGACTCGGTCATGTGTAACGACATTTCATGTGTTATGTGTATGAACTCACCTCTGGTGGGTAATATCCTTGCTGTGGTTGAGGGGAATGTCCCTGCTGAGGGGGGTAGTGTCCTTGGCCTTGCTGTTCATAATAACTGGCACTGCCGCCGTATTGATTCTGCGAGGGTCCACCGTACGACATATTGGTATCGGGGGTGGTAAGAGGCGGTTTTGGGGTAAGTGTTAGATGGGATGATAGGTATCGATATTTAGGATGAGCTGAACAGGAAGGAGAGATCTGGGGATGACCTGACAATAAATACACGGCATCAGCGGGGCTCCCGGGGCTGAGCGGGAAGTTGAGCACCGCCTCTCAGGGAGTTTTCTGATGAACACAGCCTCCTTATCATCTTAAAAGGTGGCTTAACCTTTCTTCAGCTGAACTAGGTAACCAATGAGTATATCTCTAGCTATTTAGTTATGGACCTTTACAGCATTCGGCATTTAGCATCCATCCACGCCAATCAACGCCAAGACTATCGCCCCGCAATTGACAGGCTCCTGCAAGGAACCGAGGAGCATTCCTGATTTGGTAGGTATTTTTAGACCAAAGGGACTTGAGTGGCGATAATCAAGTAGTATGGTACTCCGTATATCCAGTTCATTATATATTCATTATGGTTGTTCGAAATTGACGTTTTCCATATTAGAAGGCCCACTGCCTTAATATGTTTACTGCTTGTGTTCAGCAGTATTATCGACTTGACATTGAAACAATAATCACTAAACTTTTTCTTTGACAGAAATCTCGTGTACAGCAATGTATGGTCTAGATGACAGATATGTATGACTCTAACTAAAAATGACAAAATCCACTACCTGACAATTTGCGCGGGCATCAATGACTTGAGTTCAATATGCACCAGTGAACTTTTGTATGGGACCCGTATCCAAAGCGGTCCATGTAGTATCCAAGGGTTTCGATTCGGGTTTCAACCATGTATTGTAATATAGCTTTCGACATCTAGCATCATGAAGATAAGCCGAGTACACACCTCTGTCAATTACAATCAAGTCGATGGAGCTTGGTGAGTCCGAAGGGACTTCGGCCATCGATCTTCCAATATAACAACACTATAACCCCCACCATGTGGGGTTGAATCTCTTATGCAGGGATATGAGTACTTCCATCGATACTATAGCACTTCAAAACTTGTGTCGAGGTCTCAAATTCGAAATAGGTTTCCAAGTCCTTCGTGAACATGTTAAACCAACTAAACGTATGGCCTTTAGTCAGACAGGTTGGAGGCTCGAAATAACAGTTCCACGTAGCAGTCTTGTTAATTTCGCATTTACATGTTGTGGAATAGGCTCGATATTTTCTTTATAATAACTATGATTTTCAACGTACAACTTGTTTCCCTGGTATTCCAAGGTAAGCCCGATAAAAGCAGCCTCTCAGTGACCTTTGAGAAGACATCAAGAACATGGTTGATAGCGAGAATGATAGTTTTCAGCTTGCTGTAGAGATGAACAGCATGACTTAGTTGTTTTTTGGTCATTTCAGTGACTCCTTGGAGAGACGAGAAGATTATGTAGGAAACACCCACTTCCTGCGATATATCAGTATAACCCTGGATATATTCCCTGTGGGCGTTTTTTTGTCGGTCCCAAAAGTTGACGACAAGGGATGTCAGATGAGTGCATATTAGGGCTGGATTTAGGCATCTAGCAATTTCAGATTCGCCTCTCGATATTTGACTCATTTAATTTAATGCACTTCTTTCATGTGTCACTAGTTGTAACTACCCCGGATCTTGTCAAAGTGGGGACTGGATCCACTAAATTTACGATGAAACCTCTAAAGCGACCAATTTACTAGGTAAACCTGTCTTTAAAGAGCCTCTAGTAGTCACTAGTCTGGATACATCCAAGAGAAAAGAGAAGGACGTTATCTCCGATGAAACCTCCCCCGCCTCACTTCCTAATCAAAATAAAGATCAACAACGGCCGCCAAGCGGCATATCAACGACTTGCCTATTTAGCCGTGTAGACCCGACAAGTGGAGACTCTTACGGGGTATATAATGCCCGAGGGTAAAATGGACACCAATAGCAAAGTAAACCCAGGAGCGAAGGATTCAGCCCAACTTGCATACATACAAGGTGGCTAAGCATGTGAGTCCGAGCGAGGTGATAAACAGCTTTCTTGCCAATAGCATGGTATTTGTTGGCGCTGCAGCCAAGAACTGACTCGCGCTCGAGATCTCGGATCTTGTCGTAAGTTTAGAGGGGAATCTTGAGGGAAGGGAATACGTGTACGAAGTAGTAAAAGAGAATTCCAGCCACCCATGGGTACTTCGCTTGTTCGGAGAGAAGCCGAACATGTGGCCACGCACTGTCCCCCTCTAATGCTTGGCAGTCTACTATCTACCTGGGCGAAGTCTTACTTCAGAGAAGCCCTGCCAAGCAGCTACGGGCCGCTGGATCATTGAAAGGTTAATATGCGAGTCTGAGGAGGTGGGTTGCTATGCTATATCATGGGCAACTACGGATTTTGTAGTAGATATTTATCTTATAATCGGGCGAAAAGTCCAAAGCCCAAAATCCAAAGTCTAGGATGTGTGTGGGTTATCCTCGTTTGGCACACAAAACCGGCGATCAGCAGAACAGCGGAGGCTGATCGAGGGGCCCTATCACAGCCGACCTGGCTAAGGAACCTTGTCCAAAGATACTATTGTGGGGGACTTCTCCAGGATTGGGTTAATCTCCCCTCCATTTTAGACCCCACCTCGTGGTCTGCGCAGAGGAGAGTATTTCTTTAGGTTGAGAGATAAAACCAAAGGTGAGTGTACTTCCATGCCTATATTGCGGCTGGTAGATGCAGTCACATCCGCTAAATGCAAAAGCACACCGGAAGAGAGTGCAAAATTCTCGGAGGAAAGGTCTAATGAAAACCAATCTAGAACGATGTAGAAGTAAAAAAGACAAAGAATTCCATAAAAGAATGCACAAGAAAAAAACCGTGAGCTCTGTGCCTTGCATCAACCTGCGTTTACCGCCGAAAAACACCGTGCCATTATGGGTACATTGAAAACTTTTTCTAACTTTTCCCCACGGGGACTATCGTTTTCCGGGGCCAATACCCCATAAGTGTACCGTGATCAGCGGTTGAGCTGAGACTGCCCTCATTCGTGCACATCCCCGACTCCAGATTGCTGACCCGCGTGTCAAGCGAATAAGATCACGTCTTATCCCTGCATTCGGCGGGACCGCAGACGTCGGTGGTCATTCGTTTGATTCCTTTCGGTCCTCGGGATGTCCGCTAGATTCGGTGACCATAGAGGAGGGAGGAGGGAGGGTACCCGCGTAGTATTTAGAGCTGCGCCAGGCCCCCCTTGTTTGGACTTCTGATCTATCTTCTTTCCCTTTCTTTGGACTTTCCGCCAGGCTTTGGACTTTCCTCTCCGATTCACCGGTGTTCCAAGATCCTCAGCAGTTATGGGTGAGGCAAAGCCTCAGTATGCGGCGACATCCTCACCGGATGTTGAGGAGAATATGAGTGTCGGCCGCTACATCGCAACTCGTATTTCTTCTCTGAAGCCTCCGATGAACCCCGCGCCAAACCCGTTCAAGGCTCTGACACTGCTAAACCGGACTCAGTGGCTTAATTTCTCGGTATGTCGATCTCCCCGTAGGGCTGATGGGCAAGAAAAAAAGACTTGGCTAATCAACCTAACCCTATAGGTCGCATTTCTGGGTTGGTCTTGGGATTCATTCGACTTCTTCACCGTCTCCCTTACTACCTCTGAGCTTGCGAAGTCATTCGATAAATCCGTGACCGACATCACATGGGGAATCACCCTGGTGCTGATGCTGCGATCTGTCGGCGCGATCACCTTCGGAATCGCCTCCGATCGATGGGGCCGCAAATGGCCATTCATCGTCAACCAGCTCCTCTTCGTGGTCCTCGAGCTCGGCGCTGGTTTCTGCCAGACATATAAACAGTTCCTGGCTTGTCGCGCCTTGTTTGGAATTGCCATGGGTGGCTTGTACGGTAACGCGGCTGCTACAGCGCTGGAGGATTGCCCGCCTGAAGCACGCGGTATCATTTCGGGGCTCCTGCAGCAAGGTTACGCGTTTGGGTATCTGCTCGCCACGGCTTTTGCCAGAGGTCTTGTCGATACTACTCCGCATGGCTGGCGGCCGCTGTTTTGGTTTGCGGCCGGTCCACCAGTCTTGATCATTATCTTCCGGTTGTTCCTAGGTGAAACCGAAACTTTCCGTCGGCGCCAGGAAGCGCGGCAGGAAGTCCGCGGAGGTGTTGCGGCGTCGTTCATGTCAGAAGGGAAGGTTGCACTGCAGCGACATTGGCTGATGCTCATATACCTGGTTCTGCTTATGGCAGGGTTTAATTTCATGGTATGTACACTACTTGCTATTCGAGTAACAGAAGAAGCTAACATGGAGAGTAGTCGCACGGATCCCAAGATTTGTACCCGACAATGCTGCAGAACCAGTTCAATTTCTCCAAAAACGCAGTCACTGTCACACAAGTCGTTGCTAACCTAGGCGCTTTGTCAGGTGGCGTATTATGCGGCTGGGCTAGTCAGATCTTCGGCCGACGGTTCTCTATCATTGTCATCTCTATCATTGGTGGCGCCCTTCTCTACCCCTACACATTTGTCCAAAACAAGAATGTTATTGCCGCAGCCTACTTCGAACAGTTCATGGTCCAGGGTGCATGGGGTGTGATCCCAATCCACCTGATGGAACTATCCCCAGGACCTATCCGCACCTTCGCCGTCGGCACCGCTTACCAACTCGGAAACCTGGTCTCCTCCGCTAGCTCAACCATTGAGTCAACTATCGGTGAACGCTTCCCGCTGCCTCCAACTAAAGCAGCCGCCCACCGTTACGAATACGGCAAGGTCATCTGCATTTTCATGGGCTGTGTCTTTGCCTATGTTATTTTGATTACGATTGCGGGACCAGAGCGTTTGGGTCGTAATTTCGATGCTGAGCATGATGCGGATCTGCAGGAGGTTGCTGCTCACCGCGGCCTCAACAATAAGGAGGACTTTGGAGAAGATCCCGAAAAAGCTAAGACCTCTATTGTGCCGTAGACTCGCTAGGGGATTCCAGGAGCTGGTGTGATACCTAATGCCTACGCGATGATTGATGATTGCTTTGTATTTCGGGA